TACTTTCATTTCCGAATATGGTCCATTCTTACTTTTTCGAAATTAAATTTGTGTAGTAAATTAACTTTATGTGTTTTGAGAGAGTTGACTGGCGTAGCTACGGACAGTGGAGTCAGCGCAAAGCACTGGGGCCCGGGGCTATTAGGGGTCCATTCATAAATAGACATAAAAATAGTAATTTTAAAATAATTTCCGACTTAATATTTTTGAAGAATAAAATGGTTAACGGGGCCCTCAATAATATTCGGAAGAGTAATTATTGATTACTGTGTTGATTGCAAATCAGTGGTGTCTTCAAGGGTGTACCAGCCGGCCTGCTCGCACCCCACCCCCACCTTCATAATTTTTCAAAATAATAAAAGAAATTGGAAAAAAAGAAATTATATTAAAATTTAAGCCACAGAGTGCCGTTACCGGCCATCTAGGTGCTATAGTCATATATTTTCTTATTCAGCCCCCACCATGGTGGGGGTGGTCTAGCTTTTACCCTCCTGTGAAAAAACCCTCCCTGGCCCCTCCATTTCGAATTCACCGACCCGCCTCTGAAATTGTTAAATATGATGTGCCACCAATTTTCTTGATTAGTTTAGAAGAGCTGCTGAGACCGAATATTCCCCTCTTAAAATAGTTACGAATCCGATTATCATTAGTGTTTGTCACTAGCCTAGGCCTATAGGAGTTGGGGATAAAGAAGCACTTCTGACGATGAATTTTCCGAGAACTTAAGGAATTCCCCTTTCACATCAAAGGGCTCGGCAATTAATCTTGCACTGGGGCCCTTTCGCACCTTCTACGCCACTGTGCAAGTCCATGTTGGTTATAAACCCTCAACCTTAATGCACAGCAGGAACTGCGCTATAGAAGTGGAAGGCCATTACGAGTACTATATATCAATATTCTTTCTAATAAAATAATGTTGCTCCCAGGTACAACCGATAAGCCGGTCTATGGAAATTGTAGAATAATGCCGAACATTGCTCTTGGAATGCGATACTATGAACCAATCACAGGATTGATTGATCTCCGACAAAATGTAGGTTCCTATACCCTCTATTTATTTATGTATTAATGGTCTTTAACGAGGATGACACAATCATTTGTAGATTTCTTTTTTTCATTTTGGTCCTGAAAATTTATCATCATCATCGTCATCATCATCATCATCATCGTCGTCGTCATCATCATCATCATCATTATCATCATCACCACCATCATCATCAGCACCATATTAAATATATATAATATATATATAATATATATATTTATATATAGGCATATATATATATAAATCAAATAGAAAATAATACAGTGCTCTGTATTATTCATCGTCGTCACTGTATTCCTATTTGATTTATACATTATTTGTGTCCCCAGGTCTAAGCAGCAACTTGATTAGAA